CGGACAAGCTGGGAAGAACATGGAAGAACCCTCGCAGTGGGCATGGATGTGTCATGCTTTTTGGGGCAGTGCCATTGCACTTTCAGCCGTCCATTTGAGCAGTTCCCCTCCGACGTGGGCATTTCGGCTTTGACCTTCCAAGCGGCTGGTCTTGGCATCGAATCCTCTCGCCCATGCGCTTTGGCCCCGCGCAAACGGCACGGCACACGGCACGGCCACGCGAGCGCAAACGGGCGGGCTTGGGCCACTGCTCAGGCAAAAGGCCGCAACTAGTGCAACGGAACTCTGCTTGGATTTCTTAGGAGTTCTGAAATGTTCTGAGGGGTAAGGTTCAAAGAACATCAAAGAACCGGAGCGCTAGAAGATGGAGTTCTGTCTCCTCAGGTTCCTTCAAAGATTCCATAGACACAGGAGTTTTTGGTGGAGAACCCCGTGGTGGTTCCGGCTTGTGACGTGGGCTCGCTGCGGTGGTTCCCTACCTAGGCAAATGTGTTCAAACAGGTCTTCCACAAACTGCGCCATTAGGTATAGCTGCAAAGCTAAGGAAGGGGAGAGGATGGGAAAGGAAAAGGAACTTTAAGAACAACACCAAAGGGCGAGTAACTACCCATCCACTTCACTCCCCTGGGAAATGTATAACAAGCTCATTCCAGCAACTGGCTGCTATCTTTTGAATGTAATTACCAACTCATGTGCCGGGTAGAACAATTGAAACCTTGGGCTTCTTCCTGAGACCTGTAAGGCCACCCACCGAAATACAGCGGCTTCCAACACTCGTCTTTGGCTCCTCGTCTTGGCTTTCTTCGCTCGCCTCCTCATCTTGCGGCTTGGTCTCGTAGGTGATGAAGGCCTGTCAAAGCCCGTCTCCCCCGTCTGAAAACGCCTGTGGCGCCCGTCTTCAGACCGGTCATGAATCAAGCACACGTGCATCTACGACACCAGCAAAGCAAAACAAAACAGTAGGGATACTGCCCATCAAAATTCGCTCAGTTCGGATTCAAGGATCCTCAACCACATTCTTTCAATGACCCTTGGTACCTTGCACCAAACAGCACCAGGCACCCAGCATCGACAAAAGCACGGAGCCTGACCCTGGCTGACCTGAAGTTTTTTCAACCTCAGAATGGAGCCGGCGTGCTCCATTGTGCTCATCGCAGCATTCCAACAAAAGGCCTCACTTACCTGCAGCCAACTGACTTGCTAAGAACCCACTCATCAGGACATGTTCCACACTGTTCAGTATAAGAGTCCGAATCTAGTCAACGTGTCACGCGTGTCTTGACAACATCCTCTTTGTCAACTAGAGTGGAATCCTCTGAACAAGTGAGCAGTGAACTTGGTCGGAGACACATTTTACAACAATTCTCTGGACCAAAAGGCACAATCCCTCAAAGTCCTTCCATAAATCAAACACGTATAAGGAACATTAAGGGCGTCTGCTTGCATCTGCCCCGCCACGCCGGTGGTCGGTGTGGGGCTGTGAAAATGGGATGTGCGCCTAACGGTGCTTCGCTAACACCAACGTGTTTGCCTTCCTGCTAAACCTTATAACCACCTTTTGTTGTCCATGTCGCTAATTGTTGTATTTTGGTATGCAAGGACGAGAATTGTTGTCCGGGGCATCCTTCAGCACCGCGGGAGGCGGATCCGGCCCAAAAACCGGTGGCCGGCTCCCCAGCTGCTCCCCCTGGGTGGCCGCCACTTGGCGCCCTGGGCGGTCAGCAGCTCCCGCATGGAGAAGGACCAGCTCTGGCGCCGGCGGAGAGGACTCAACGGTCAGCTGCTCGGAAAGCAGGTGTTGGAGAAGATTGACTTTCTATACCCCAAGCACTCCATGTATGACCTATTTACCTACATTTGGTGTGGTCCAATAACTTAATGACTTCTTCATGACCAGGACCTCCTTGAATAAAGGGTGCTAGGCACAGCCCATTGAAAGAATTTGCACAGTAATCTGTACAACCACCTGTTTGGTCTTCGGATGTCTCTTTGTCCTCCGAACTCGAGGTCATGCCATCCAGGTTGATGATTCCGGGGAATGTATACGTTCATATGAATTGAGGCGTTTGCTCTCTCTCTCTCTCTCTTTGTGCTCTGGAGGACTAAGCCTTTTTGGGAGAATGTGGTTGCTAATGTCTGCTATGTTTAAGGTTCATGAGGGAAACATCACATCGGCTTGCCCCTTGCTTTGGCATGTAGTTGGTTGAAAGCTCATCCAGGGTGCATGCTTGAGAAGCAGCATGTTCCACCTTCCACCGTCCAAGGAGTAAAGGCAACTCTAGGCTTCCTGATCCACCATTGCCATTGATGTCATGGCCTGAATCCCAAACAAACATTCACTATTGAAGGATTAGTGCCACAAAAACAGGTCAACCAAAGTTATTCATGGTCCAAACCAAGGGCGTCTGGGACAAAACCAAGATTCTCCTATTCATCGCCCGGCGATGCCGGACGCGCATCCCTCTGGGACTCCCGGCATCGGTTGCAGGCTGCTGCGCCAGAGCCTCTGGCACCTGACTTCCACGGAAAAGCAGTGCTGCGCTACGTGCAGCGCTGCCCAGCAAAGGAAGGCATGAGACGTCTGACATGTCTACCTACTTTGGAGTGGTCAACAGTTAACATCTAAGATCATCTAAGTACTTTTCGGTACATCTGTTTTTTGGAGGTCATGTCCAAGGTTCGAGGGCCTAGGGTACTTTGGAGGGTCCAGGTGCATCTTTTACATCAAACACCTTTTGGGGGATATAGCCATCTACTTCCATGGTGGGTTTTAGTAATTGAGAGTCTACTAATATGTCTACACCATGAAGCTAAAAACTATACATGAAGATGCCCAAGCAGCCACCAACGCCACCCAATACCCTCGTGTGTTCCATAAACAGCCAGTTATTCAGTCGAATCCGCACCAAAGACCTCCCCCTTCCGTGTGCGCACGTCGCGCGGAAAATCCGTTGGAATCCCGGTGGCGCCTGTGGAATGCAGAAGAAGGACTTGGGCTCTACAACCTCAATCGATCTGAATTGGTCTTTGTTCGGTCCAAGTGAACAAAGAACAAATGGGGCGCTCTCCGCTCAAGGGCGATCTCCGCGGCCAGACATTGCCCGCTGTCTCAGGTGAGGCTTTTTTCGGGGTCGTGACATGGTCAGGGTAAGGCATGTGACACAATCCCCTAACAGCATCGGAAACCTCAAAAAGCGGCTCTTAGGAGCCTATTTGAGCATCTTCAATTGTTGAAGGTCATGCAGGTCCAAAACATACCTGCCAGCACCTTCTTGGTGCGGTGGTATTCAACGACCTCCACATGCAGCCCCCAAAGCCTTCGCAAAGAAGAAACATTGGTAAAAACGTCACTCCATTGGGAATTGGGGCCAAAGGTCCTGCAACCCCCTTCCAAACTTTGGGGTGAAATTAGCAGCTCTTGCTTCCAGTAGTTTCTGACATGAAATCAACTACAATATATAGTACAATGATGTACAATGCAGGTTGCAAACTGCTCCAGGGCAATCACTGTTACAACAAACTGAGTCTGTTCCGTCCTTGCTATAGGCGCCTATCCATTGTATCAGCATCGACCCCCCAGTTCGTCAAGAGAACGCCTTCGAAGAAGCGATCTTTCTTCCACTTCCAACCTGCCTTCGCGGATCCTCAGAGTCTGAGTATCTACTTCACCAGCAGCCCCCCCATCACAGCGTGCGCGCACCAAACTCCCTTTCTTTTCGCATCTGTCTGCCGCGCTCTGCGAGGGCGAGCGGGGCAAACGACGGAAGATGCGGGTAGACCGGAGGTGTCGTGCGAGCCGCTGGTCGCCACCTGCGGCTGGTAGGAGCCACCGGCGGTTGGAGCTGAGTCTAAAGATCACCAAGACTGGGAGAAGTCTTAGGAACAAAGGTTAAGTGACCTGAAAACCTGGGGTACCTATAGGATAGCCTAGTTCGGGTTCTTCAACCTCTGCCGGTAGGAACTGGAAGAAAGTCTAGTAAATTGTTGGCAAGGGATTCTTGCCTTATGATCAATTTGTTGTTTCGGTGTGCAAGCAACATGTTGTCACATTGAATGGCGACAACATCTGCATGCAGCTGCCACATAAATGTCGGTGACTCAGTGGCAAACAGCATTGAGTGTTTAGATACAATGCATTTAGAGCTTAATAGCGGCCCAGGGGTGTCCAGGGGCCCAGGGGTGTATCAGGTCTGCCTTGTCCACCTCACGTCACTGACCAAATTTGAGCAGGCCTCCGAACTTGATCCAAAGCTAATTGACTGCTTCACGATCCAATGAGGCGAGCCAATGTATGGGTCTGTATGCCAGCTTCTTCAAAGTGACCTTTTGAAGGTTCCTTTTCGTGACCCTACTCGGAGGCTTAAGTGACTGAACCAACCAGGTCATCAAGTTAGGTCACTTTGAAGAACCAGGTGGTATTTTTACTGAGGCGATCCCCAGTTCAAAATGACCGAACTTGATCAAGGCCCTCGCGGAGCTCCCGCGAGGTGACCCGTTGGACCTCTGCAAGAAGGTCGCCCCCACCTTTCCTTCAACTTAGCAGCTAAGCAACACGACATGATCAGTTTATAATAGTCTCATCAACGCAAGATCTCACCTGGTAAGTTGCAGCAACAAGTAATTCGGGAATTGTTTGTAGCTCCTTGGGCCGCCTTCTTATTCTAAGGGAAAAGAATAAGGGAAAAAGAATCTGTCATCGCTCCCTCCCAGTGCCTCCTTCTGGCATCCGCATCTGCTTTCATGGACTTGGAAGCTTCTCTCCAGCGGGGATTCCAGCTCCTTTCACCACGCTTCACATCGCCTCGACGCCAAAAGTTCCACCGATCAACCCAGAGAGGTGTCCAGTGACCTGAACTAGGACCCGTCACCTGGGGTACCCAACTGGGATAGTCTAGTTCGGGTCATTCAACCTCTGTCTGTTGGAACTGTGAGCAATTCCACCGATCGTCGTCCTTGTGACGAGGTTGAAGCCAGCGAGGAGGCAGCTGGCTGCCGCGCTCTCAAAGACAGCAGGAGGGCAAGCAATCTTCAGTGCAAAAGGAGTCCACAGCCCTGGCCTGAGTCATTCCGGCAAAATCTGGCCATAGAAACGGAATCATCGGCCGGTTGCAGGGCCCGCCCCATGTCTGTGGGTAGCATGGCCCCGAACGGATGACCATGTTCCGAATACTTGGCCCATGATGTGCTGATGATTCTTGTGTTTAGTTGTAATCTTTTCGTCAACGCATTCATGAACATGTTGAACCTGACTGAAGTGTGTTGCTTCCTTCCTCACAGGTCACCTACCAGCAAGTTCATCGTGCTCCAGCCTTCTTGCACAACCCCCCAAATGCTCGGTGATCCAGCAACATGTATCGGCAGGTATCGGCCATGTATGGCATGGTATCGAAACCTCTCACATGCGCAGAAGAAGGACCATCAGCGTTTGATTTAACTTAATAACCCTGATTTTCCCCTCTGGCAAGGCAAGAACCTGCTGGAAACAAAAACACATCCTGAGACTTTTGGTGGCATATGGTAGCGCTCAGAACGTGGGCGGAAGCCGGGAGATCGAGGAAAGGTACAGATTCTGCAGTCCAAGGACTGACTCCGTCGCTTACTTCGGTGCCCTGCCTTCATTCCAACCTTCTCCAGGCAGAAGCGGCTGTCTGCAACTTTGCTTTCCATCCTCTTCTGCCACCACACATCACCTCGGAACTGGAGCTGGCTGACATCAATCATGGTTCATGTTCCAGTGACTGGCATGTCAGGTCATCCTGCACTCTGTCCTTCCGACTCTGACGGACGTTCGATCGTGTTCCATGCACGCCGCGTTCCCGCCAAACTGGCCGCCTGCTGAAGGCAACTTGTCACAAGAAAAATGATGTCCCCTATTTGCTACTTGATCTACTTGCTGGTGCCCGGGCCGGCTGCAGAATCCAGGGATTCTGCAGCCGGCCAGCCCAGTGCTTGCTGTCGTTGGCTGGGATGCTACAGCTTTACCTTCCATCTTTTTGCTTGCTTCCAAAAGGGGGCAGCGGTCCTTGGAGAACACTTCCGACGTTGCACAGCTTCTTGACCATCTGGTGAGCATCTGTGCCAGGTGATACATGCACTGTGCCCAAGTGGATAAGAAGGTTCATTGGTCACCCTGTTCGTGCCTATATGAATGAAGTTGCTGGCATTTTGCTGCAAGTTCCTTCAAAAAGGCCTCACTAAAGGCCTCGCATTAGTAGGGGAAGGTCCTTCTTAAACCCTCCTCCCCCATCCTCTGATCCAAAACCGTGTGGCCCACGTTCTCTGCGCTGGAGGTCTTTTGCATGGGACGCGGTCCCCGCCGCCGGGCCTGGTGGTTTTTGGGCGGAATGGAAGGCCGTTCAGAAAGCTGCAAAGCGGTGATGTCGCTTGAACCCCAAACTCACCGCCCGAAGGATCCGCACCCCTGCCACCCAAACAAGGGTTTGCTTCGGGGCCCCTGCCCGCCACCCTTAACGCTAGAGGGCTTCGACCCCTTGTGAACTAGGACTATAGGAGGGCCCATTCTGATCCTTAGGGCGAACACGACACAGACTGACATCGAACGAGCGTTGGAGTGGCTGAAGTACGGTCAATGTCGGAACAGTCCAACAGTCCCATTTGTGGTGTGATCTGGGTCAAACACTTCACAAGGCAAAGGTTGAACATGCGAAAAATCTCTGAACCTGGTTCTTCAAAGTGACCGAACTTAACTTGAGGCCAGAGGGGGTGAACGAAAGCTAGCCGGGCTTCCGGTGGTCTGCTGCTGGTGCTGCTGCTGCTGCCGCTGCTGCGCTGGGCGCTGCTGCGCTGGGTGCTCTGCAGGCGCCGGGTCGTCTGCTGCTGCTGCTGCTGCTGGCGCTGGGTGGTCTGCTGCGGCTGCTGCTGCCGCGGCGTTGGGTATGCTGCTGCTGCTGCTGCCGCCGCTGGGTGGTCTGCTGCTGCTGCTGGTGCTGCTGCTGCTGCTGCCGCTGCTGCGCTGGGCGCTGCAGATGCTTGGTGTGCTGCAGCTGCTTGGTGGT